ACCGTTGTCAAGGTCTTTCTCTCTTCTGCACAACTTTGAATTACTCTAAATGGTGAAATTCCCAATGCCATTTTCAATTTTACTTCTTGTTGGGCAAAAGAAATCAAGTTTTTTTTGGGTGTGTTGCTGCAGACAATGGTGAAGATCATGGTGGCGAGGATAAAATTACTGAGAAACAAGGAGGTAGTTGTCAGGAAAATGATGAGATACAGACATTGGTATGTTTCTCGAATCCCACTGCTCGATCGTATTCAGGTACTTTTTCCTCTTACTTAAGGTTTAAGGGCTTTGATGATTGATTGATCAATTGAACCTCGAAATCAACTCGTAGAAATGTGTAATTTAGTATATCATGCCTGGGATCATTTATATTGAATTATTATTCCATCGATTTCAAGTTACGTCTTCTGAAATTCATTCACTAAAGTTTCAACTTTATAAATTGATACCCTTGTTTGCCTCTAACGTATATATTACTTCATATTTGAAAAATGTCTTGTGAAATTCAACCTATATAACTACTTTCTTATTCTTCTTTTTCTTTATAAGGGCTTAAATTTTGGTTGCAAGCAATGGCTGCGAATCCATCTGGGTTGGAGAATTGAATGCTGGAGCGGCCAAACTTGTGTAAGTGTTTTCTAATGTCTCGAATCATCAACTGTCTTTGCTCGTACCCATCCTCTTTCTCTTATTCTTCCAAACTTGTGTGAGTGTTTCCCTGTTTTTCGTCTCAACTTTTTAATGTGTATTTTTTTTCTTATTATTGGTTCGATGATTCATTTTCTGTATGTTGGTTATGGCCTATGGGGTTTCTATAAATTTGTGTATGCAAGGGAAGTGATGGTGGGTTTTATGATTCTTTTTGGGGGGTTTATTCTAGGATTAGTAAGTAAAATGATTGAAGATATTGGGTGAAAATTAAAGTTGTGAAAATCAGTGATATGAGGGTTTTTGATAAGAGGGGATTTACAGGAATTCTAATTTTTGGTCAAGATTGTGATATTTGGAAGTTGAATCTTTTCTAAAATTATGTCCGAGTTAAGTATTCTTTAATGCTTTTATGAATGGAAAATATGAAACATCTTCCCCCGAATTCCTGCCAGCCACTTGCATTTTGAACATTTGAAGAAAGTTCTAATGAATATGTTATTAGGTTGAAGAAAAGTTCTCATAGTAGGATACCTTTTGTATTATAAGCTATTTTGCACTGAGAGTAAATTGAAAAAAAAGATTGTTTTTTGTATCTGAAGTTGTAACTAACTACTGGGAATCATTTTTTGCTTTGGTACCATGTACATCCAAGACCAAGTATTAAGAAGAACATTTCTATACTTGCAATAGTAATACAGTTCCAGCATCCTCCTCTGTCAGACCAAGCAGTAAACCTGTTATTATTCAAACTGTTCTTCCTAAGATCACTGCCATTCCTCTTCCTGCCACTTGCAGCATAGACATTTCTCCATGTCACGCAGATGGATCATTAGTCTCCATTACTAAGATCCATCTGTATTTGTTTTATCATCAAGGAGCTTCAATCATAAAGATGCTAAGCAGAGGAGTTGGCTCATCCATCATTAGAACTAAAAAAAATCATTTTTTAGAGTTTGATTGCTCAACATGGATTAAAATCCTTCAAAATTTCCTGTTTGGTCATTTAAAATGTGAATGTTTTGTCTTCTGCTCTAATTGTTACTTTTCTCATCTCCTTTATCTTGATTAATTTGTGAAACTTCAGCATCACTTGTGTCATTTTTATATAGTGATTTATACTCAAATGTACATGCAGGGAGGATCAAGATTGAAGGGATAAAACAACACCTAGGTTCGGTCCTTTTTTCATTCCCTTCATTGTGAAAGGTTAGAGAGACTTCATTAGGTAAGAAACACAATATTTAATTATTATTACTCAACCCAACTCAATTTTTTTAATGTCTTCTTTTTGTTAAATAAATTGAATTGTTTAAGTGCATTTTAACTTTGTTTTTTTTCTCTAGGGGGAGGGGGCGGCCTCGGGGCACGACGGTGCCTCGGG